ACGCAGTAATAAGTATGTAAAATTAGCTTAGAGCGATAATTTTTATTATTTATTATATGTATGTTCGATAACTTTGTAAGGGAGTATAAAAATGTTATTATTTATTATCATTTTATTATCTGAGGAAAACTTTGTGAGCTGAAATGTTTGAATTTTATGATATTGTACTTTATATAATTAAAACGAATTTCATCTCATGAATTAACTGTAATTGCTCGTTCACCCAAAAAAAAATATTTTACCGTTTAGCGGTTCTGTGTTAATGTCAGAGGATTTTTCATTTATATATCTCAAGAGAATATTCTAAAAAATAAAGAAATTTTGTATAATCATAAAGTACTGGATTTAGAATTGCAGTTCTCTCAATACTAAAATATCTTGCACGTATTGACATGCACGCGTACTACGGTAGCACATAAATGACAAACTTCTTCTAACAAATAAGCGTATTATTTTGTATAGCTTCTTATTTCAAAAGGCTATTCGAGTTATTAAAATTTTTTTTTATAGAGGAATTTATTTTTGATTGTAGCTTATGTATCTCATTTTTGTAGAAGAATACGTGTTATAAATACACGCATCTAATTAATATAAGATTTTTTTGGAGGAAATACTAACAGGAATTTCCTGCTTATCGGCACACTATTGTTTTTGTGTATTAAAAAAGCCTTGATATAAATTATATTGCATTTACACGAGCCTATTTTTTATATTTATTATTTTTATTATATAAAATCTCATTAAAATGCATATATTCATAACAAAGATCTACAGAAAAATCTTGTCGTCATTGAAAATAAAGTATAATAATGATTAATAAATTGTCATAGAAAAATCTCTTCGTTATTGGAAATAAAATATAATAATAATTAATGAATGATGAGATCAATAAAAAATAGATGTCTGTTTGTATTGTTACAGTTAATTCTGGCCATAGCAATTTTTTTATAAAGAATTTTTTATAGAGAAACTTGCTTTGTCACAATTTTACAATAAACTAATTTTTCAAAAAAAAATAGTAGTAATGACTATAAACAGTCTATTTCCATGATATAGATTTATCAAGTTTCTCTGTCATTCCTCACTTGTTTTTGAGATTTAGCAAAGTATTTAGCCCTGCTCATCCTATTATCTTCTAAATCTTATTCAAAGAAAATAATGAATATGGGAAATACATGTATGAAAGTTGATAACAAATTTATGTTGTAGTTACCAAGAAATAAGATAATAACGATTCAACCTCAATGAAACTCATACTTTCTCTGTTGTACCAACCTTCGATTGGCTGCAGTAAAAATTACACGAAATTATTTATACTATCAATACTATCTATACTATCAAACTATTAATACTATCAATTTTCTTAACATTTAAGATTTGCGATCTCAACATCTCCTCAATATGTCTTTTTAAAGATTGGATAATACAAAAGATGGACATACAACAATAGAAAAGCATATGACAAAGGCTATATGTTTCAAAAAATAAATTCGCGTATTGTAACTCTGTAATGCTCTTTGCGTGTCGTATATCGTATTCCGTACAAAATATTTTCCGTAGGTTGACTTGATATATGCATGGGGAAATGTGCAGTATCTCGATGGAAACTCGCAGAAGAGTACAAACTGCGTACATTACAGGTGGAGCATTGTGTTCCGTTTCGATTCAATCCTCGTGCCATTCAACAAGGCGTTCGTTCACACCCTGATCGAATGTGGCGTTACAAATACGAGTGAAAGGCTGTTTGCATGTAAGAAAGGAAAACGTATGCTAATGAATCAATTGGCAATATCACAACAAAGTAAATAATACGCAGTTGTATAGCTTGTATTCACGTTTGCATCTTGATCCGAAAAATCGATACGTTAAATAAACAAATCGACAACAGCCTGTGAATAAATAAATTCCTAACAAGTGTGAAAATCATTTATTTTTCCAGAATAATGCAAAGAAAAATATAATTGCACAAAATGCATAAGTAAATTATATCTTATTGTGAAATTACAGAATATATCTCTGCTGTTGATATAATATGAAATATTGATTTCTTTTCCCTTTTCCTCTTTTTTACATTAACAACTTTAAGGTAATTCTGAAGAAATTAGATCTTAAGTAATGTTATTTCTGTTATTTATATTACTCACATTAGCTGAGTAGAAAGTTAATTTCATGTTATTATTTTGAGAAAATCCATGGATTTTAAAGATAGAAGTGCTGTATATTGAATTTTACAACTGATAGATTTCAATAATTACATTATCAAGGTTTATGTAGTTATTCGAAATCGAAAAAAATATTCTCAAGAATAAAAAAAATATTTTATAAATTGCGAGTGAAGCAAAAAAGAAACTAATCCTTCATCTACAATCTGCGTCTTTTTTGTTCAGTGCAAGTTTTTTACTATTCTGAGCTTTCAAAAAATATGGAAAAAATTTAAGATTACTTTTCAATTACATTATCAAATACTTTTTTAACTCAAATATTTAAGAAACTTTTATTTAATTTACTCTCCTTTATTTCAAAAAAATTTAAGAATAAAATTGTACTTTTGTGCCAAAAAAGATTCGAAAGTTAATATATAAATTAAATAATATATTTTAAATATAATTTACTGTTTTAATTACTTTTAGAATTTTAAACCCTTAAAATATTTTATTTTTGAAATAACTTTTATCGAATTAATGAAAGATTAAATGGTTTTTGACTGACACTGATCTTGATCAATTTCTTATAGAATTCCGCAAGCGTTTTAACTTTCTTGACACGAAGACAGCCCTTCGAAACTTTAAGGTGCACCCGCGACGTTAGTGCGCTAGCAATTTCCCTTCTGGAAAAACAGATTATCATAACGAGACATTTGAACATACACATGAAATCGCCACGAAAAATCGCATAGATGACAGTTTACTTGCATGCTGTACGAATAAACGAATGGCCTTGCATGTAACGTTGATAAAACACACATAACTTGTTTCAGAATAAGATTAACAGCTCCGAAAATTTTTTGATGAATTTTTTGATTTAGAATAAATTTTACCGAAAATTTACTAAACTTAAAAATTAATATCTTTATCAAGTTTACTTTTGGAAGGTATGAAAAATTTAATTTATGCTTATATTTGGGAAACTTGATAAAAAAATTTAACATTAACTGTTAATTCTACTTATTTAATATCTTAATTAGATATAAATTTTTGCAGGGATTTAATTCAAAATTAAAAATTTGTAACGAATTTTGTTTTCTTAAGTCTCTTTGTATTCATACATGGAAAAAACGATTTTAAAAATTTAACTAGATAGAGGAAAGTCTCTATTATGAGATAGGCACCTAATATGAGATAGCGGCGTTTCTACTAATCTAATAGATACTATCTATATATATATATATATACATTGGTTCCATCATAAATTTATTGCTCTTGGATTGAAAACTATTTAGTAGAAAATTCATTATTAGGTCATGCCTGTAGTCATCATAAAACAAGATTTTAGAATTTGGATGTCTTCAAGTTTCATTCAAGTTCAAGATGAACATTTAAATCTTGTTTATTATTTAATAAATAAATATTTGCAATAAATTGTTCATGTAGTGATACAGTAAGGTTATACTAATAGAAAAATATGGGATATGTTGAATTGTGTAATTACAAAAGTTAGATTTGATGATCGTAAAACTATAAGGCATAGAAATTGTAATATGAGATACTGGAAATTGTAATATGAGAGGATATTCCTAATATGAAATAATTTTATGTTCCTATCTTATATTCCTATCTATGTTCCTATATTATAAGTTAAAATCATTGCTAAAGTATAAATGTTATTGTGCAATAATAAAAAAGACAATTGGAACGTCGAGTGCCTATATTTGCGTTGCTTGATTCCAACTACCTGAAAACGAGTTCTGAATATAATTTATCGCATGCTCATTTTTCGCGCACACTGGCTGTGTTTGTTTGTATTTTAGAAACATTAAATAAAGTTTTTTAATTGCTGATATACTTTGCGTTTTACTATCGATTTCTCGAGGCATCTCATATTAGGAACACAATTTTTTGCAATTCACTTTTAACATTTCTTTAATTTTTAAAAAGTGGGTTTGAATTAAATTTTATATAATGTTATCTTAAAGCTTACTAAATAATTCCCTTCAAAATGACCTATTATTTTTTTTTAATCCTGCCTACAGACTTCTAGCATTTACTCAAAATGGACTCGGTATCTCATAATAGGGGCCTTTCTTCTATTTAAATCCGAAAATAATTTTATTGGGTCATCTAATTATATCAAACGGTTAAACGTTGATGACAATGCTACAAAACATTTTTAATATTCTAACAAGCAACCAGTTTAAGTGTCCTACATAATTATTTTTAGATCTATATTTAGCTAAATTTTTCTATATAGATTTATATTTATAAAAATTTTTAAACATTTCTATAAAACTGTTTTTTTTTCTTTATACATATATGTCGTACTTCTCTACTGGCAAATTTTTATAGCAATTATCATCTATATAATAAGATGCTATATAATATTATCTATGTAATAGCTGCATCTGCAGACAAAATAAACTCTTCTGACAATAGAGATTTGCCGGAATAAATTTCTTACTCTCGCGATAAAATGAGTATTCCGTGCAAAATATCTCTTGAATTCAATTAAAGTCTTGCAGTAATTATGCACTGCGGAAAAAGACACTCGAGAAAATGTTGCAAGTGAGATGATTAAAATACACTTTTCTTTGCGCATTTTAAACTATGTAAAGGACATGCACAACAGTAATATGGATGAAGCTATCAATCCGCTTTTGTCGTTTGCAAAATATTCGCGTATAAAATTGATAGACTAATATGAACTGAATATGAACTGAATGAGCAATCATTTCTTTTTTTATCACGTTTTCCCTCGGGCTTTTATAAAAATTTTTCATTGCTTTATATGCAAATGTCGCACTGGCGCACTATTTAGGAACAGATATAAACAAGTAAAAATGAGTCGGTTTGAAAATAGAATTTTATTAGCTACGTAGCAAAATACCTATTTATTTAAATATTTGGCGTCACACGATTACCAGGCTAAGATCGTTTATATTAATATACAATATGTAAAATGTGCCATATGGATATGGGCAGTGTCCGTGGTGGTACAATAAACTTAGACTTCAATACGAGATTCATACGAGAGAATATAAATATATATTATTTTACATGCTAGAATAGAGTACGCTATAAAGGCACTTGCTTGAATAGTTATACATATAAAAAAGAAGAAAACACATATGGCGAAAGAGAGGAAGCGCTAGGATAAAAGAGAGCAGATAACGAATGAGAAGGGTGGCTCTCGGAAAAAGAAACTATCCAGAGCATTGGAAGCGTTCTGACAATGAGGAGCGAGGAGGCAGGAAATAATGAGGACAAGACGTGGCTGCGGAACACATTTGAGGCAGAGGGAATCACAGGAGAGAAGGATACGTCCGTTCTCTTTATTTCTTAACATCGTCGACGCGGAGCGGACGATGTCGTCTGAACTTCCGTTCCATCGTACCATTCGCGAAACGTTACTGCTCTTTTCTTCCTTGTTATCAGAGAATGGAACCAGCACAATTCCGACGAGTTCAATTTTCCGTGCTACGGAGACGCGACAAAATGTATCCCGCGCGAATCGAACGAATTTTCATTATCTCGAATAAACATAGAGATCATTTCCGCGTGGAATCTCTAATGTCGAGACACTGTACTCGATGAAATTGTATCGGTTTCAATCACTGCTCGTTTATATTCGTAATGATAATTTCGCTTCGGTTCTCGTGTAAAAAAAAGGGAGAAAAAGAAGTGTATTGCATGTATGTCATGTGTGTATGTTGTTATAAATGTATATGTATGTGTGTATGTATGTCCATGTATGTGTTCTATGTGTAACGGTGGCACGTACGTTTATGTATTCTTTATACAAACTTGGCAGCGACTTATTCGGGATCTAAGATTACCCGCCTTTAGGGTCTGTTTTTCGGGGCTCCTGAACTGCTGGCTGTCTTCTATGGTCACCATCCAGAAGCTGTACTGATTAGAATAGTAATGGCAGTGTCCTTTGGCGCCATTGCACTCGATGAACGGTGTGGCGCGGAAGTCCTCCAGGCAGGAACCAGGACTCGACAGAGATTGACCGCCCCCCTGGGAACCTGCGCCGGTATGCTAAAAAGATGGCAAAGATATTTTTTTTAATATTTAAGCATCCAATTTTTATATTTCCAATTTTTACATTTTTACTAGAATTTTATAATTCCAGCTGAATGATCCAAAACCACAGCTGAATCTGAATTTTCTTTAGTCTTTTTCTATCCTATCCTTTGTCTTTATTCTATCCTAATAGGTACATTAAAAAAATAATTTACTAAATCTTAATACATATTTTATAGTACAGATTAAACATTTATGGCAAATAAATATCTATTTTAAAAAATGATAATTAAATCAAATTAATTCTTGTACCAAATATAATAAATATATTTTTAGTAAATATTTAATTAGTACTGTCCAAATACTTATTAATAAATTTCTTTTCAGTGTATTCGCGGATCCAGTATATTTTAAATTATTGTATTTTTATTTAAAGTTATGTAATCGAACGATTTTTTTCATTTTGAAGATGAAAATTCGAGGAATAAGATCATTTAATATATATAAGATTGTGAAAAACATTTATAAAATTTTTCACGACGTAAAAAAAATTTTTGAATTTATAGTTAATGTTTGAACAAATGCCAATTAAAGTTAAACATTAGAAATTGTTAGTAAAATTGCCTCATTTATTAGCTACTCAAATATCATCAAATTATTGAGAAAGAAAGAACGTTTCGAATAAAATGGATCTCTTTTTCAGCGAGAGACAAATCTTTGCCTCCTGAGCACATTGGGATGAAAGTTTGCCTTATTTCGAGTATGATTGATGTGAGCTTTCTAACTGAATATGAAGCAAATTCCGAACTTAGACGATTTAGGAGAAAAATAATTGTATAAAACTACTATAAAAGATAAAAATACAACTTTGTGTGAAATGCAAATTTTTTAGTAAAAGACATTTAAACATTAAAGTAATTTTAAACATTAATGATATTTAAACATTAATGTACTTTTGATATAAATTCGATTTGTCTTGTTAATTTTTTTTAAAATAGTTCTGTTGAAAATTTTATGTTGAAATTTTATTTTTTAGTGCATATGAAAGGTTTTTTAATTACACATCATAAAATCACATTTCCATTTCTCAACTTTCAGTATAATTTTAATGTTTGTCAAAATTACCGTGCGATCGAATTTATTTAATTTATGTTTAATTTAATTTATTTAATTAATTTATTTGATATTAATTTTTTTTCTTTATTTCTATTTTTTTATTGCTACTTTTAAACTAATTTAATAATTGATTAAAGCAAAATGTAATCGATTTAAGATAGTTGCGATACATTGATAATTTTAACTCTATAAAGCTAGCAGGACCAAATCAGTAGAATCGAACTTATTGGAATTTTTAATACTCATTTTATACTATTAATGATAATTTTGTACTGTGTGTCACTTCGAAAAAAATCATGACAGTGCGATGCTAGCTTAATATTAAGCCGGCACGACCAATTCAAAATAAAAGAAAAAAGAAAAATAATATCAGAAATTAATACAATAGATCCGACTTGATTCTGCTGATTTGATCCAGCTTTATAGAGCTGATAATTTTGTCAGTTAAAAAATATATCACTTATTTTTATTGAAAGACAATGTTAAATGGAAAATATGAAGTTATATCTTACGCTATGCAACGGCAATAGGAAAAATTACTTACCATTACAAAACTATAACCGATCCAAAGACCGGTCCATCCCGCCGGACATTCTGGAATGCTTATCGTTTGACTGTGTACCGCTATCACATTGGCCGGAACTTCGCATACCACACATCTATCGCAGAAGTCAGAAATTTATTTAGTTAGTGAAATCTGTATGATCTATATCAGTCTTCAACGTCTAAATTCTCATAATACTAAAGAACTGTGTATTAACCGAAAATTTTTATACGCCAAAAAAGACTAGTTTATTTGTAGAAAAATGGCTATAGATAGAAATAGAAAATAAATAGGAATAGGAAATTGGACATAAAAATATATTACATCGATTTTTACATTAATTTTTTCGATGATTAGTATTATGCATATTGATTAAATTTTAGCTAATCTTGCACATTTTTAAATCAATATATTTGATATATTGATGCGTCAACATCATTTAAAACTCAAAGATATAAAAATCTTATATGATACAGCTTTTTAATTATAATTTCAATTATATATTTAGATTTGATAATAAGTTAAAGACTTAATTGTTGGAAAATCGAAAAAACAAAACTGAAAACATACTTAATTATTAATGGTAGAACAAAAATAAAATGCTTTTTTATATCATAAAATTTAGCATGACTGAAAAAATATTCAGTTTCGTTGTATAACTTTTATGACTATTTTCTAAGGAATGCAGAAACTTTATGTGCGTTCGCAATAAAAATCTAGGCGACACACAATATGCATAGTGAATAGCATAACCCGTACCTGGAGATATATTCTTCTATCGCCGCCTCTTCGACGGGCATCATGGGAATTGGTCTATTGGTAGATAGCCAGTAAGAACGATCATTGCGACTAGCGTAATGGCAGACGTTGTTGACGTCGCAGAACAGGAAGGGTATCGTTGAGAATTTTCTTACACACGAGCCGGCATAACCTGTTTTATAATCATTCATTGGACGAGTTTGTTTAGGTTAAAAAATGGAATTTTATTGCTTTGAGATCAAAAAATCGCATTATCTCGTGCGATCGCAATATCTCCCACTGAGGGCAAGACTTACAAAAAAAACAAGCATGGCCTGTTTTATTAAATGCAAATATGTGCTTAATCGATGCTAATTAGATCATGATTGCAAAAATATGTGACGCGATGCATATAAATCCATTGAATAATGAATTTAAGTGTCTATTAATGCTCAAATACGAGTAATAACAATTTAATCTAGATAATCAGAATTAATCGCGTAAATCTTCGACAAACTACGTTCATAGAAAATAAGGTCAGAAAGTCCGTAATAAAGTTATGAATCTAATCTGATAAAATTATAACAATAAAAATAAAAAAATGAGATTTCTCTAAATATTGTGTTTTTTTATTTTCCGTATCAAATAGACGACAAAGTAAATATAAGAAAATCTATATTACTGTGAAGTTACGTTTCATTTTATTATCAATAATTATCTTATATTTATTTTTAGATTGAATAGAAAATCATGTTGTTGATGATTATATTTTAAATAAATAAAATTTTATTATGTCTCTTTTTATGCATATTTATAAAATATATCTAAAATACTAACAATATGAACAATAAAAAATACATCTTAATTTTGTCAATACTAATTATATAAATTAATTTTTATATTTATTATCGATGAATAAAGATTCCAATTTTTTTATTAATGTTATATAATAAAATTAAATAATGAAGTCTCTTGTTATAATAAATTTAAATATATTTATTGAATTTAATATATTAAGATATATAATTTGAGAAATAAGACTTACCTAAGTCTTGAGAGTGCGCTCTCTCATCGCCGTCAGTGTAGAGCAAGCTGTATCCCTCCCAGAGTCTTATGTGGCCTGGTTCGCAAATCGGCACGCTTTGACTTTGGCTGTGTTTAACCAGAAGGATACCAGTGAGATAATCAGGTGTCGTTTCACAAGGTGCACCGGGCTCGCCGATGAGTCCTGGCGCACCGACGGGACCTTGAAGACCCGGTAAACCAGGTGCACCGACAGGTCCAGGTAATCCTGATAATCCAGGTGCTCCCGGTGGACCAATAAAACCTTGCGCACCCTTAATACCATCTACGCCAGAGAAACCGGGCGGACCTGAAAGTCCTTTTTCTCCCTGAGGACCAGGTAGTCCGGTCGGACCTAAAAAATATTTATTTTAGATGTATCGTATTAAATAATATAATAAAAAATCCGGGTAATATTTTAGATAAATTAATAATAATATTTTAGATAAATAAGTGATACAATAGAAAATTTTATTTTTTGCGTTATACTTTTTATAACAAATCTTTACGTACGCACATACATTGTTAAATTCATAATGCCAAATTATACTCTCTTGTAATTATTTTTTTATTTCTATAGATTGCCACCTCAATATTATTAATTTAAATTTTAATTAAAATATTGGGATTGAATAATTTAACTCAACAACTTTAAGGAACGTAATTTGATTCAAATTTATTACTTACTAAGTATATACTTGTGCTAATGTGGACTTTGTTTATTTTAAAAACTGAGCAAATATATATAAAATATAAATATTTGTAAAAATTACTATAAACATACCTGGATATCCGCGATCTCCTTTAGGTCCCATTGGCGGTTCGAGACAGTCTTCACCTTTTTCACCTTTTTCACCTTCGTAACCAACCGCACCCATTAATCCAACTGTACCAGGATATCCTCTATCACCCTTTTGACCAATTGGTCCAGGTAAACCATTTACACCATCCCAACCTCTTTCACCTTTTTCTCCTTGAGGTCCATCCAATCCATTTGGTCCTAAAAATGAATTACTAAACATCATATTGTCGTTCAAGAATTAATAAATAATGATTTTCTTCGTCGTTTTAATACGAACAAAAAATATATTATCTTTAATGATAAAAGTACAATAAATATTAAATGAATATATATATAATTATTTATTATAATTACTTTATCCAAGGATTAAAGTTATTGTATATTTAATAAGAATGCTTTTATGTACAATGTATTATTCGTACATATTTATCTGCAATATATTATTGAAATACTCACTCTATTTAATAATTATTTTTAATTTATATAGTTTATTTTATATAATTTATATAGTTTAATTTATATAATTTATATAGTAATAGTTTTTTAATTAATTAGAAATAAATATAATAATAATTAGCACCTGGAAAACCGGATTCTCCTTTTTGTCCTGGAGCACCGAATAATCCAGGCAGTCCTTGATCACCCTTTTGACCTCTCTCACCAGGTAATCCAGGTGCACCTTCGAGACCTGAATTGCCATCGCGTCCTGGAGGTCCAGTCAGACCTGGTGGCCCTTGATCACCTTTTTCACCTTGAGGTCCAACTGGCCCATAAGGACCAATATCTCCTTTTGGTCCAGGCAAACCAGGCAATCCTGGTTCACCCTTCTCACCAGGTCGTCCTGGAAATCCGTCTCTACCGTGCTTACCCAATAGACCAGGCAAACCTTTCTCGCCCTTTATCGTAACTCCAGGAATTCCAGGAATACCAGCAGGTCCTTGGTCACCTATATGAGACATATAATGCTTTATAAATATGCATTAAATTAAGAAATACAATTACAGAAATATAGAAAACAATTATTTTATTAATATTTAAAATATAGATAAAGAATTGCAGTTTGATTGAATATTTTTTGTAATTCATTGTATACATTTATATTAAAATGTTCATTATTATTTAAGTATATAGTAAATAAAAAATGTACCTTTAGATCCAGGAGCACCATGAGGTCCAGGAGATCCTTCGAGTCCAGGTAGACCTCTGTCGCCCTTTTCACCGTCATAACCAGAGATACCTATTACACCTTGATTTCCTTTCTCTCCTTTTTCTCCAGAAAATCCAGGAATACCTGGCTCACCCTTTTCACCTTTAATCTGGATTGTAGGTCCTGGCGGACCACGATCTCCCTTTTCTCCTATTGCTCCTTGAATACCGGGCAATCCGACGAGTCCTAAAATTTAATTTTATTTGACATGATCGAATTACTTTACGTATATAAATCCGTTTTTTTTTATATTGATAAATATTATAGTAATTATCTAGTACAATATATTATTAAATAACTCATGATTGAATAAAATAATTAAGATGCTTTGATAATTTCTTTGTTTTATAAATCATATTAATAATTAATTTAGAATATATTAATAATTAATTGTAAAGTGATAATGATTTTTATGAGAATATAATTTTTTTTTAATGTAATGTTTTTATATTTTGTAACTAGTATTACACTTGTGATTGATAGTATTTTACAAAATCTGTTTTACAAAATTACCTTGTAAACCGCGATCTCCTTTAATACCATCGAGTCCAGGTCGGCCAGGAGGGCCCATCTCGCCATCAACTCCAGAGAAACCAGGTACTCCCTGTGGTCCGATTTCACCAACCTCTCCAGGAAGTCCGTCTATACCGGGCGGACCAGGTTCTCCAGGTATACCCGGTGGACCCTAATAATAATAATAAAAGGGAAATGAAATTATAATTACAAAATTCTCTATTTTTTAATACTTTTGTTGATTACGGAAACTTACATAATCGCCTTTTATTCCAGGGAATCCTCTTACACCAGTATCACCTTTTTGACCTTGAAATCCTGGTAATCCATCTCGACCTGGTACACCCGACTCACCCTTTAATCCAGGCAATCCGTCCCTGCCAATGCCTGGTTTTCCAGATTCACCCTTCGCTCCATCAATACCATCTCGTCCTGGAGGGCCTAGAGGACCTCGTATTCCAGGCATTCCTGGCTCACCTTTCTGTCCTTTCTCTGAGACCTGTCCTGGTTCTCCTTTCCTACCCTGATTATATATAGTTACAAATTATAATATAAACATATCTACATGATATCATATATATA